ATTACAAATTACCACTGGGAAAACATTACTCTTACAACTTCTACAATTAATTAATTTCTTCAAACATAATTGATTTCACCATGACACTGTTGATAGATGAGCAAGCCAGCAAGGTCAAATCAGGAGTACATTTCATATGTCTGTTATTTATATCGTTCTACCTCTGGTTATTCCTAAATCATGTCAAGCACTATTTGTAGTCTACAATTGACATCAAATAAACTGCTGAGGAAGCAAGAGAAACAAAAAATACCTCAAGGAGAGCACGGATTGCGAGCTTGATGGTCTCTTTGCCAGAGGTCTCCTTGTAATTCTTCTCCAAGAACTCCCTCATGGAGTTGGAGTTCCTCCCCGTGGCGTTGGCCTTCCACGCGGAGAAGGTGCCGGAGGGATCGGTCTGGTACAGCGCGGGCTTGTCGGTGTAAGGGTCGAATCCGACGATGAGGGTGGAGAGTCCGAAGGGGCGGACCCCGCCGCTCTGGGTGTACTTCTGCTGCAGGCCGGCGATGTAGCGCGTGATGTACTCGACGGTGACGGCGTCCTCGACGGTGAGGCGGTGGCTCTGGCACTCGACCCGCGCGCGGTTGATGAGCACGCGGGCGTCCGCCTTGAGCCCCGCGCACGCCAGCGCGATGTGGGTGTCCAGGCTAGCGATCTTGCGCACCGACCTGCGAATCGAATCCCCCACCGGCGAGATGAGATCTATGGGGGTGTATGGGGAGAGAGGTCGCGAGGAGGTGATGGGTACCTGGAGTCCTGGAGCTTGGGGGTGGACTTCTTCTCGACGCCGAGGACGACGGTGTCGGAGCCGCGGACGCCGACGGCGGCGTTGCCCTTGCGGACGGCCTCGAGGGCGTACTCGACCTGGAAGAGGTGGCCGTCGGGGGAGAAGACGGTGATGGCGCGGTCGTAGCGGGCCATCGCCGGCGGGTCTAGGGTTCCGGCGGTGGCGGAGCTTGGTGGGGAGCGAAGACTAGTTGGGCTGCTGCTGCTGCTTCTTGGGGAAGAAGAAGACGTCGCAGACTCGCAGGCTTGATGTGGTAGGCTTCCTGGATGGGCCGACGAGCTCGAAATCGTTTTGCGTTACGATTCTGTTGGACCAACTTTTTCTATATGGGCCTGGGACGATTTGCAGGGAATAAAGGAATAAGATCACTTTGACTCCCTCAATTTACCACCGAATCTAAATCGTATCCCTCAACCGCAATACCAGAAATCTTGACCCCTAAACTTACGAAACCGGTGCAATTTGACTTCCTTGGTGGTTTTGGAGGGCGGTTTCGCTGACGTGGCCGCACACGTGGCAATGTTGACCTGGTCTTTATCCCACGTGATATTAACGTGGCGCTTAGGTGGCATTAAAAGAAAAAAATATATGTGGGTCCATTTGTCATTAAAAAAAATTGTGGGACCCACTAACATGTAGGTCCCACATGTCATCCTCTCTCTCACTACCCTTCTTCTTCCTCCTCTCTCCCTTATTTCTCTCTCTCTCCCGCCCTTACATGAGCCGGCGGCAGGCTCTGCACAAAATCATTTGCAATGTTTGGTTAAAATCATTTGCTTGACAAGTCCTCATACTCTGCACAAAATGGATTAATTCTCTCTGAGCAAAATGAGAGAAGTCCTCAGACTTTGCACGCCATAAACATCACTACATCAAACTGAGCAAAATGGACTGTCTCAAAAAACAAAAGACCCATGAAATTACTTGAAACCAATCAACCATGCAGCATCTAGCTAGGCAGCTACTCTTCCATCACGAGATGGAGTTCCTCCACCTTCTCGGCCCCTTCCACGTCGGCGCTGGACATCTTGGCCAGCTTGCCCAGCTTCTTGCACCTGTTGTTCCACGCCAACGAGAGCACGAGCGAATGGGGATCGAAGCCTGACCTGATTCGTAGAGGTAGAGACGCCGCATGGTGGATTGGGATCCAGAGTTAGGGCGAAGCCTAAGCTGAGCTGCTACGCCTACGCGCCGCCGCGCACTCCGGCGAGGCACCACCACGCCATGCCGTGGATGAGGAGATATGTTGATCGCTGTCCTCCGGTGGCGCCTTGTGGTAGGGTTCGCTCCCTCCCTCCGCCGCCCCCGCCATTTCCGCCTTCCCCGGCGGCGGCGGCGGTGAAGGGCGCGAGCACGCACCGGCCATTGCCCGGCGTCGCCGCCGCCGATCCGGACGCCCCTCCCCACGCACAAAGAGAAAGAAGAGATAGAGTAGGGAGGAGGAAGAAGGGATAAGATAGGATGACATGTGGGACCTACATGTTAGTGGGTCCCATATATTTTTTTATGTGAATGACAAATGGGCCCCGCATATATATTTTTATTTTAATGCCACATAAGCGCCACGTCAATGCCACGTGGCACAAAGACCGGGTCAACACTGCCACATATGCGCCACGTCAGCAAAACCACCCTCCAAAACCACCGAGGGAGTTAAATTGCACTGGTTTTGTAAGTTCGGGGGTCAAGATTTCTGGTATTGCGGTTGAGGGATACGATTTAGATTTGGTGGTCAGTTGAGGGAGTCAAAGTGATCTTATTCCGGGAATAAAGTGGTCGGATCTGATTTGTATCTCTTAAGGAATAAGTTCACCAGAGGTCCCTTAAATTAACACCGAGATTTTTTAAAGTCCCTTAACTAGAATGCTAGAAATGTGTAACCCTAAAATTACTAAAACCGTCCGTAGAAGGTCCCTTGGCAGTATTGACTCAGTTTTTGCCCGGTTTTGCTGACGTGTCGCACTGTGGGGAGTTAATAGACGGGGTTAACGGAGGGGAGTGCAGCTACCCGGACCTCCATTCTCTCTCGCCCACAGCGATCACCCACCCCCATCCCCTCATACGCTTCTCTGCCCCTTCCTCCTTCCCTTATTCTCTTCCTACTACACCATAAATTTTTTTAAAAAAATATAAGAAAACAAAGTTAGAAATTTTTATGTATGAAAATACCATGTATAAAAAATATTTGAATTCAAATTCAAATTTGAAACTTGTATGTAAACTTTTGACTTATAAACTTTGGTCTATAAACTAATATTTGAATTTAAATTTGAATCGAGTATGTAAACTTTTGACTTATAAATTTTGGGTCTATAAACTTTAGGTGTATAAATTTTATATGTATAGAAATACTATATATAAAAAATATTTGAATTCAAATTCAAATTTTAATCGGGTATATAAACTTTTGACTTATATACTTTGGTCTCTAATTAGGTGTATAAAATTTAGATGTGTAAACTTAAGGTGTACAAACTTTAGGTGTATAAATTTACTAAAAATAGGAAAGTAATGCGGTACCAAAAAAGAAAACCACGTGGAGGAGGGGGTGATCGATGTGGGGAGGGGGACCGATCGTGCCCAGCGATCGATCGCCCATTAGGGCAAGTTTAGTAGAGGTGACTACCACATTCAATTTCATGCATGACATACACCACTAAATTAAGAAGTAACATGTATTATAGGTTACTTCTATCATACAATCTCTAATATCTCTAACACTCTCACATGTTTATTGAAGTTTGTGTAGGGGTTGCCCCTTATATAAGAGGTGACTATTTCTCTCTCATCTTTCTTCTCTCATCCACCTTATTATTTAGTCATATGTGACATCTTGAGCTTGTGTTTGGCTGCCTATAGTACTTGCTCTTAATACCTATATTCATTTTGTATTTCAGGTCATAGATAGTGATTATTTTTTGAACGGAGATAGTGATTAACCGTCCCTTGGACTTGGAGGTGGAGCATCGAGGACGCGCGCGCCGCGGCGCCGCGCACGTTCCCCGTCAGGTGGCCGTGGGCGGCCGGTGTCGCGTCGTTGCCAACGTGTGCTACGTCGATTTGGATGTCACGGCCGGTCCGGTGGTAGGTGCCGTTGTCACTGGCAGGTAGGGGACGTGTTAGGATGGCACGTTTGCTTTCTCTCTCTGTGTACATGTGACAGCCAGCAATCATGGATGCACAGAGTGTATATTACTGCAGTATTACAGGTGTGTGATGAACGAAATTAAGGCTATAGTGTGTACCATCGCTATGAAGACCTCTTATCTGTTGGATGAACTTTCAATGCCATGCGATGTCTAGCATCGTTATGACGGTCATAATTTATCTGCTCTTGTGTCTACATGAACATTTTTTTTATTTATTTGCGTGAAAAATAATTTATCTTTTCCTCAAGAAAAACAAAAAGCATGAGACAAGGAACTACTGTTTTCTCCCCTCCCAAATATAAGGTTTTCTAGGATTTAAATTTATACACAATATAAATACTCTAAGACACTAATTTTAGTGCAGGAGAATGCATTTTTAGCCACTTAAAAGAAAGAATCCAAACATTTTAAAATTTAAATTTTGACCATTCAGATAACTAAAAGGAGATCTCTTCCATTTAGTATTATGTTGTTATACTATGGGTTGGAGTAGTAACAAAAAGATAGAGACCGACAGGAGTGTACTGTGTACATACTCTCTTCGTCCCAAATAAGTTTACTTTTAGCTCATTTTATTTGTCCTAAAATAAATTTACTTTTAATAATCATTGCACCAAACTTTGTGAAAGTAAAGAATAACTGCACTGTGAGTAGATAAAGTGAAGAATATTTGTGTTGGGATTTGATAAAGTATAGATATTCTACTTTATTTTGGTTTTGTATTAGTAGGTATGAATGGATAAAATTTGATCATTCTTTGTGATGGAGGGAGTAACCCGTCCAAACGAGAACGAAGGGCCTGTTCAGATTGTAGCCAAAATAAACCTTACCAAAATTTAGTAAAGTGATCAAATATGTGCATCAATTTAGTTCTTTTATCAAACTCTAGTAAATATATAAGAAATCATGTCAAAACTTGGCAATATTGTTAAATTGCCAAAAATTGATAAGGTTCATTTTGGCTATAATCTGAACAGACCCGCCGCTGTGTAGGTAGGTATGCTTCTCATGATGTATGCCCGTCCTACATACGTAGGCCGGCCTATAAATACCACCGTGCTCCCCCTCCATTCCTCATCGCAGCGGCGATTTCTCATCTGAATTGCAGGCCAATTCCAGTTGAGTTTCTCCACAGACCACAGATATGGCTTCCGGCAGGATAGCTCTGCTCTGCCTTCTTGGCTTGCTGCTGGTAGCAGCCTCACCGGCTGCCATTGCTGCCAAAGATGACAAAATCTTCTACCAGATTACTTTCATGGTATGGATGCACAGATTAATTAAGCCCTGTAGCTATTTGTAGATGATCGATTTAAATACGTGCAAACTCTGAACTCACCTGTTATATTTGAGTTTTATTTTCGTTTCTATTTTATAGAGAGACTAACATTTGCAGGCAGGATTGTTAATTGATTCATGACCCCCCAGCTCAGTTTTCAGTCGCATGGGTAAAGCTGTTAATTAATTAAATTAACTGACCGTTCTCTAAATATGCAAAGGGAGAAATATAACCGTCGAGATTTATCATCACCAGCATGTATCAGATTTTTAATAGCAGAAGAGGAAATAACACATCTGATTCGCGTAAAAAAAAACACATCTGATGATCTACACCTATTGCATTTTTAAATCTGAATTCTGAAACGTGGCGAACAAAGCTCGAGGACGACAGATGTGGACACTGCAAATAAACTAAGGATTTTATTTTGAAAAAAAAGAGGAAAAACGCACGTTTTGCTTAACATGGACCACCGGTTTTAATTTGTCGAGACACGAACTGATCATCCATGCAAAATTTGTGATAACCCATACTGACCTTGTCGACGGCGTGCAGCTAACCATATGGCCACCCATCACCTCATGAAAGCTACCACCTAATAATTCGTCCGTATTTGCTGAAACTTGATTGTTCTTGCAGCATCTTTTATTGTTCTTGCTTGTTCATGGTAGTAGCAATTAAAACACTCACTAGATCTGGCAACAATAATAACGTGATTAATTAAGGATATGGATGCACATGTAGTGGCCGGGAGCGTACTGCGCGCAGACGAAGGCCGGATGCTGCATGCCGAAGACCGACGTCGCGCCGGCGTCCGACTTCTACGTCGCCGGCTTCACGGTCTACAACGCCACCACCAACTCTTCCCTGTCCAGCTGCAGCAACACTCCATTCGACATGAACCAAGTATGTGTATATATACATCAATACATACAAACTTGACTAGATCTACTCTTTGGTTGATTCTATTTATTTAGAACTATTCTACGGTCCTTGAGGTACCAAAAATTTAGTGTAAAATTTGATACCTCATAGTACCTGGTACTCCATCCGTTTCACAATGTAAGTCATTCTAGCATTTTCCATATTCATATTGATGTTAATGAAATTCTATTCATTAACATTAATATGAATATGAGAAATGCTAGAATGACTTATATTGTAAAACGAAGAAAGTACCTTATAGTACTCTTCTCAAGGACTGTAAAATTGCTCATTTATTTATCATGGGATGTGATGTGTACTGCAGATTGGGGATGTCACGAGGCTGATGCAGTACTGGAACAACATCAGGTGCCCCAGCAAGAGCGGCCAGAAGGGCTGGAAGAACGCGTGGGAGACGTCCGGCGTCTGCTCCGACCTCACCGAGAGCGCCTACTTTGACACCGCCCTCGCCCTCCGCGACAAGATCAACCCCCTTTCTCGCCTCGTCAGCAACGGTACACTAAAAAATAAAAAAACACGCACGCACACCACCACACACGTACAAACGTAACATACTATAGTACTACTACGCTGATAACAAAAACGACACGATTACACGATTTGAGCTTCATGCACCGACCAGTTTGTTATACTGCGCGTATGCAGGTATTAAGCCGGACTTTGGGCTGTACAGCGTGAAGAAGATCAAGGAGGTGATCGAGGAGGGGATCGGCGCGCCGGCGCTGATCCAGTGCAGCAAGGGCCCGTTCAACAAGTTCCAGCTATACCAGATATACGTCTGCGTCGCGGAGGACGCCAAGACGTTCGTGGAGTGCCCCAGCCCGAGGAAGCCGTACACCTGCGGCGACGACATCCTCTTCCACCCTTTCAAGAAGTGGATGCTCAAGACCAACTCCACCAAATCCTACGCCGCCGCCGACGCCATCGACCAGCTGCTCGAAGCGGTCATGGAAATCTGAGCTCGATCGATCGATCGATCAAGAAGACAAATTAACCCTTGTTGTGATATGCGATTTGTGCGTGTGTGTTGTCTGTTTCGATCGTGATGTTTTCTGCGTGTTTATTTCGTGATGTTCTCTCATCGCGCCCGCGCGCGGTTGGGTACGATCCGGGACACCTACGTAGCACTGAATCCGTCTCTGTGATGCATTCAGAGAATAAGTCCGAATATGTGCGGCCTTGTTAATGTTTTCATGAATAACTCGTGTAGTGGGATTACTTTGTCATCGGACATTTCATGATTTCCGATGCACACCTTGGCTATGTTCTTCCCCCCATTTTCCTAACCCTCTCGTTTTTCGCACGCTTTTCAAACTGCAAAACAAAACAGTATGATTTATTCAAAAACTTTCTATATTAAAGTTGTTTTAAAAAATTATTAATCCATTTTTTTTAAAAAAGTAGTTAATACTTAATTAATCATGCAATAATACAAGCTTCGTTGTTGGGAACCCCTCCTCCCGAACACAACTCTTTGTACAATAAATGCTCGGGAAAGTTTGAAACCCCTTATATATAAAAAAACGCATAACGGTTCATATGAAAAATATTGGCGACAAATATATATAATACCTCGATACAAATTTTCACCAAGTTGATTTTAGTGATAGATATACTGTTTCAATATTTATAGATACAACCAAACTAATAGGCTAATCACTATCAGAAACTGAATTAGCCCTGACGGCTAAAAATTGTCAGGGACAATTTTTTATATTGTTGGTTGATTGTATCGGCCACTGCCCATTGCCGATGAGGAGGTAAAATCCCACATGTTTCCTTCTCTATCAAGAAATAAATATAAGTTTCCTAAAAAAAGAGAGAAGTTTGTTTTATGTGATTGGTAGAAAACTAACTTTGATTAACTAGTAATATGTTCGTGCTAAACGCTACGGTGCAATTCCATTGTCTTTAATAACTTTGAAAATTTTATGTGAGGAAAAGAAATTATATGATATGTTCACCGTATCGGCTCACCTTTCTACATTTTTCCCCTCCCTGTTAATATTTACCTCTCTATCTGTCTGGCTAAAAAATGCCCCGTCTAATAGTTTAGGAAGCGTGCACGCAGGACCTTTCGATGACAAAGAGACAGCGTGAGTGCAGTTTGGAGAGACGGCGGCAGTGGCGCTTTAGGCAGCCGTGCGTTGCTGGAGATCGGCAGGAGGGATGGCGGCGCGACTACAGATTGTCCTCTGACCATCAAATTGAATATGAATAACTCGTCATCTCTTTAAAACAAGGGGCGCTTCAAACCACTTTGTATTCTCCATATTACCATATCCAGAGTCTAATTTTCAATGAGGAACTACTGAGTTCAAATGCGAAGACGGTATAATAATACGCTATGACAACAATGCTGCGGTTATCATTGATAAAAAGGGAATCCAAATGGAACTTGCGTTTTTGGCGCAATCGCCAAGGAATTGAGAGAATTGAATTTTACTAAAATAGTTTCATAAGCTCATGAAGTATTAGCAATAACAAAAGGGAAATTTGAGCCTTCTTTGTTGTACTTGCTAATTCAATGCAAACACATATAAGCTGTAACAGATGGTTTCATATTTGAGCCTTTTTTGCTGTACAAGCTCATTGCCTGTAACAAATGCTCATTGTTGGAAAATAAGAGAGCAGATCAATCTAGAAGTCAGCTCCTCCTCTAGTTGCCAAGCTGCAAACGCATGTGAATGGAAAAAACAACACAGTGGGTAAGTTAGGAGAAGGTGACTTTTTCTCTTTTTCTGAAGTAAAGGTTGGAGCTCTGCCCATTATATTAAGAAGTTGGTTTCAGACTACAATTCAAGGATATTATATGGAACAAAAAGCAACTGAGCTTTCACCATAAACTCCATTGCATAGCGAATATAGTTGGCCAGTTTATTTTTTGTTAAATTTCCTGCAGATAGAACCTTGTGGTGTACAAAAACCGATCCAAAGAACATCTGCCTGGGTTCATCTGGTGCCCAACATAGTTCTTTCAAAATTGTTACAGGTCATTGAATGATGACATGAGCACTGATTGCAGCTATCGATGCCTCAAAAAATCCTAAGCTATTATTAGAGGGGCATCAAGCGTACAGAGTTATCTTGAAAGGAGAGGCTAAATGGCTATGGAGAAGAGAAATTCCACCGACCGCTTCTTCATCGTCAATCTCCAGCTGCCGCTGGCCTTCGCGAGCCATTTTGCCGCTTCGCCCAAGAACTCAACCGCTGGGCGCTACCAGTCGTCCCACAACCATCTCAGTCGGAAGCGCTGGGTTGCTTCTAATTAAAATTACAAAAGAAAATCCGGTCATGAATTGCATAACTTGAAGTCCATGTTAAAGAGGCCAAATCAGTATGGCCTTTATATTTATTCTTTGGCTTCATAATACACTGGAGAGTTGAGCATGACGATATTAACTAAATGAGCCTTTATCATCTGGGCGTGGTATGCTTATTATATAAGATAAAAAAATGTTCTTTAATTACAACTATCTGCATATCTCAATTTCTACTTGGGTAACACGCAGCATTCTAGCTGAACAATATCCTTCCAAGCTCAAACTAATCATCAGAAAGGACGAATGAAAATAATTTGTTCCTTATCTCATGATCAAGAGCAACTTTAATATTTATGTTGATCCTTAATATATCTATTTTCTCATGATCAAGAGCAACTTTAATATTTATGTTGAAATCGATTACCAGATAATAACCTGCAGCGCATCTAAAGGCAAAATGGGTTTCATAACGTCAAAAGATATCGGGTTTGGAAATATTTCACCCAGACATCCTGATGAAATGAGGATCTACCTTTGTCATCCATATTGGCACAAAGAAAAATTTTACTGTATCAAGCATTTTATAGAAGTAAGCAATGGCCAAGAAGTAGATGCCTCACCGTCACCTCTAGCTGCCCTCTACCTGCAACAGCATGCAGCACGGTGGATCCACGGAAGTCGAGATGCTCTGACACGTCGGAGCGACGCTCGATGAGCTCCCTCAGCATCTCCACGCTGCCGCCCCTCGCGGCGGCGTGGACTGCCCTGCCCATCATTTCCAGCCAGAACACCGAGGAGCAGCCACCACCGCTGCTGCGCCTTCCCCGTTGGGACAATTCGTCGAGCACGTCGGCGACATGGCGTGGTCCAGCAGCAGCCCGAACACCTCGGCGTTCCCGCCCCTCGCGGCGGCGTAGAACATGTCCGTCACGCCGTACTCGCCCTCGCCAAACACCAGCAAGGGGTCCCTGTCCATGAACTCCTGCACGAACGCCATGTCCCCCACCGACGCCGCCGAGTAGAGCAGCGTGTTCTCGGCTGCGGCGTCGTTCTTGTACTCGCACTCCAGCAGAGCCGCGCAAGGGTTAAACTCGTCGGGCGCCGCCGATGATGGGGACCGGCGACGCGGGCTGACCGGGGGCGGCGCGAATGCAGACCGGCGACGCGGAGGCGAGGGATCCGGGTGGAGGGGAGGCGATCCGATCTGGATCGGATCGGATCGGGAGGCGCGCGGTCGCGCGGATGTGCGGTGATTGCGGCAGAGAGGGAGGTGTGGGACGCGCGCTGATCTGGGACGTTGGATCCAAATTCTTCAAATGGTTTCGATCGTTGGATGTGTGATATGATGAATGATGAATGAATAAAACCATTTGTTCAACTATAGGGTAGATATTGTAGGAGATAAGTCCATCGGATGGCCTATTCAGCAAAAGAAAAAGCCAAAATTTGAATTTTCAAACTTAATTTTGACATTAATTTTGAGATATTTTCAACATAGTTTCTTTTTTAGCATTGGCTTTTAAGTCACCGAGAACATATATATAAAAATTTTACCTACAAATTTATTTTTATTCTTTAATAAGCTGTTTTGGCTTATTACGATAAAAGCCAACCGATGAGGCCCTTAATCCATGATTAGCCATAAGTCCTACATTAACCTATATGTGCTAATGACGGAATAATTAGACTTAATAAATTCGTCTCGCGGTTTCCAGGCGAGTTACGAAATTAATTTTTTTCATTCATGTCCGAAAACTCCTTTCGACATCCGATCAAACGTTCGATGTGATATCCAAAAATTTTCTTTTCGCGAACTAAACACACCCTTAATTTGAAAACAAGAAAAAAAATATTATTATTTACTCACCAAACTTTTTATTAATCCTTTCTTTACTCATTTAACCCTCCAAATTATTAGAAAATGGTTCATTTTACCGGTTAATAGCACTTATCTTATTTGTTTATCTTTATACATGTCATATTTTAAGCTAAAATTTTGTAGAGGCATAGATGACATTATTATCAAAATTTAAACTGTTTTGAAAATTTTCATCATTATTTACTTGAAATTTAAAACCTTGTACTAGTGTTTCCAACCTATGTAAACAGCCTAAAAAAACTCCAAAAATGTTGAGAGGTCTGGTCTTTTACTATGCCCGAAAGCCATTGACACCAAGAAATATGTCGGCGACCCACATTTTGATCAAGCCAGTGCCTTTAGATAATTTTATCTAAGTTTTTAAATAAACTGCTTGATGCACATAACTCAATAAAAACCAAAGGTTCCAAGTCTGAATTCTAGTTAGCATGCAATCAAATAAAAAGTTACTGCTCATTCATGTTCCACGTTTAAAACTCTACCTGATGAGCTTATCTTTTTATTAGTTTAAACTTTTGAGTTAAACTGGTTAATCCATATAACTCGCTAATATCGATGCATCGTGTCTATAGATATTGATACGTGAGGATCTCGTTCCTGTTCACTTCACCATTGATGTGAGTATAGGATGGCTTTAGGAGTTTAGGGTATTAGTGCAGGAAATGTTTGGCGTACGTTGTGTGGTTTTAAAGTACTCCCTTTCTCGCATTTTCAATACCTGTACATGTAAGGAAATGCAGTTAATTAAACCTGCCCTGCACCTGCATATGTATCTCTTCAGCTCGTAGCTGCTGCCACTCGACCGGACCCAGCCGCACAGCGCACCAGCGGCCTAACGTACGTGCAATCTTGCGCACGCCGTTTTCGACGGCAAACTCTACCGATCCGGTGCGACGCGGGCGCGCGCGCGCGTATGTGTGCACGATCGAGGCACACACCTCTCACCTTCGCGGGGCCTCTGGGCCACGTACGCGACGCGATCAACCAACCGACGAATTATTGACGACGGCGACATCAACCGCGCGCGCGCTCTCGACCTCGCTCTCCTACATTGATTGTTGACGCGGCGATCGCGCGCTGGCTCTCGCTCCCGGTCCGCACAACACCACACCAGCGACAGCGAGCTAGGAGTAGGAGTAGGACGATTCCAGATATCTCCGGCCGCGAGATTGCCATCATCTCGAATATCCGACGAATCGTACGTGTTGATAATTTGGCTCCGATGGGTTTTTTTTTTAAAAAAAAGATAATTTTGGCTTCGATCTGTAGAGCCATCGTTTCGCTTAGTCCAGGAATATGCGAAACAACATATTTGCAAACGAAAAATAATTGGTGAATATAACTTTTATATACGTGTTCCTAGATATTTAAAATTAAAGGCTGAAAAAATAAATTTCGATGAAAATACCTCAAAGTTAGCTTTAAATTTAAAGTTGAAAATTTAAATTTTGGCTGATAAGCATAAGGATAAGCGAAAAGATGAGGCCCTAATCTCTCCAGCGGTGTACACTAGACTCTAGATAGGTACCTACTCTGCTAGTGAATGATACGAGCGAATGAACCTTACCAAATTTTGGTAATTTGGCAATATTACCAAATTTTAGCAGTATTTTTTTATGTATTTACGAGAGTTTGGTAAAAAAAACTTCATGGATACACATATTTAGCAATTTTACTTTAAAAAATAGTATGGTTTAAAATGACATTAACCTGAACAACCCATATCTCTTTCAAAAAGCCAACATTAAGAAGTGGTAGCACTAGCATTTTTACCGTTCTTATGAACCGATTTATACAAGGTGAACGACGGGAATCATTATTGTTCTTGTGAGAGAGACACAAGGCAGCTGGGGGACTGGTAGCGAGTAGCTACAGCTTTCTTTTCATTTTTTTTTGAGAATTACACAGTACAACGCAGACACTCATAACGCACGCGTACTCACCCCTATGAACACACGCACGCAAACCCTACCCCTATAAGCTTTTTTTTCAATTTGACTATGTCAGGGAGCATATTTTATGGATATTAAAATGATAGGGCAGAATATACACGTGCATGTATTTCTTAGATTGAATGGGTGGGACCGTATTTCTCCGTGGAGTAAATAGGTGGGGCTGGTCCATCCTGATCGTTTCTGATCGTTAGGTATGGCCGTACGAGTGAAGATAGTTTACTCCAATTTATATACATTCATTGTTCATAAAGTAGCACAATTGAGTAAATTTTGTAAAAACAACTAATACTATTGATTTCCTACAATTTTAAAGGCATATTAGACACTGAAACAATAATAGCCATCACCCATAGATCCGCCGCTCCTGTTGCTGCAGGCAAGGAATCCACCACTACCGTGATTATGGCTGTCACATGAAGCCTATTGTACCATTCCTAAGGCCGTGGCCCTTGGGTCCACCACGTCTCCGTTCTAAGAAAGGGGAGAGGGAAGGGGAAGAGGCAAGGAGCGGGAAAGGAGACGATGATGGCAGGCGGAGCGAATCAGCCCTGGGGGAGGCGGTGTGGAGGGGATGGTGGAGAGGAGAGGAGTGTCAAGGGAAGAAGAGAAAAAGGGGAGGAATAGGATGAGATAAAAAGGTGGAGGTGCGGGGAAAAGGGTTGCAGCCAATGGGGATGCACAGGATGGCTCGTCTAGCTTCATGCAAAATATTAATGGTCCACTAGCTCTTCACGTATATTTTTGTAGACAGGTTCTTTTATAGCCCATTCATGAAAATAAGGGGGTGTGCGAAAATTATTTTTTTACAGTAGCAACAATTATCTAGATTCACCCATCAAACACACATGTTTCATGTTGGGCATACATGTCAAATACACCTAGATGTGTCAACTTCTTATAAAATTGTGACACTAAGTAATAGTAGTTACATGTTATCGTAGCAGTTTAATGACATGTTAGGTTAAAACTGTTGCAAAATGATAATTTTGACTAAATAATTATAATTTTACGAAAATTACTAATCATGATTAGTTTTATGCGTGCCAATTATCTAGCTCTCTGTTATTAGCTATCTATGCATCGATGGTTTGATTGGTTATGGCATTAATTTGATCAATCACCGTGGATGCCTGTTAGGACAAATTTGCCTTGAACTAGACTGTTTACGTTACTACCTTTTCTTTGGGACTCCACATAATTAGATGCATAGTATTTATTAATTTGATATTAAGTTTCTTCTTAAAACTGCCTTCTTTTCACAAAATGTTAACACTAAAAAAACACATACCTCAGGGTACCTCTTTAAGTACCATAAAAATTCTCCATGAATTAACACTCAAAATTGTCATGCATGTTCCCTTGAAAAACCATAAAAAAGATGGAGAAGAATGAAAGGTCCATTCCTTTGCCTCTTGCCCACAACCTGAGCCTATAAATACCCTCACAATGGTTGGGTAGCCAACCAACAAGCAAGAAGAAATTTCTCTCCTTGTAGAAACAAGCCTAGAGAGTACTATGGAGCAGAGGAAATTTTTGTTGTGCCTAATTCTTGGCTTACTTGCGACTTCAGGACCTGCCAAGACCGTCAATGCTGACTCGCCCTTTGATTTTTATTATCTCATCCTCATGGTATGAACTGCGAATCATCAAATATTTAACTTCTTGCAATGATACGCATTAAGTTTAGTTATAAACTATGACTACCTTTTTCTTATTTACACTTTCTTATTCAAATTAATGAAAAAGATTCTATGTTTGTAATTCTTATTAGTATTACATAAAACTTCTGTTCAAGGATATGCATGTTGTACATGATGTACTATTGGCATCTAACCTTATTATTCACGTGAATTAAGAATTTGTAAAATTATGAAAGTTTCCTCAGAACAAGTATATCATCTTTTTTTTTACAAAATAGAAATATTAATATCACATAAACAGCCTAAATGGACAAATTAGCTGTACGAGATTTTGCTACTGTCCTGTGTTCTTGCTAAAACGGAGGTCAAAGAATGAAAGCACGACAAACGAGCACATCAACATATTTGAACATGCACAGCAAGCAGGAGCTGCAAGACAATATCGACAAAATCTACTGTGATATATATGACAAAAGTCTGATGAAGTTTCAACAATGTTGATTTAGAGCATACTCATATCAATAGTACGTAAAACCAGTAAGGAAATTCAACTAGAAGATATATATCTCATAGGATTCAGGACTCAGCCCCAAACGAGGGGGAAAATTTCAAACTGAAACGCAGAGCAAATATAAATGATCTCTAGCTCAATAGCTCAGCAGTTTCCATGGTGAGTATAAATCGATTCGCATTCGTGCCTGCAGTGGCCTGGAGCATACTGCACTGACAGCGAGTATGGTTGTTGCGTGCCCAAGTATGGTTACCCGTCAGAAGATTTCTTCGTCAAGAGCTTCATGACCTTTGACTCGTCAGAGAACACAGCTGTTGTCAGGTGCAACTCCGACAATCCTTTCGACATTAACAAGGTTAGCACACATTAATTTACAAGCTAGCAGTCTCATTTAATTAGCTTCATGTCTGTAAATATATAATTACATGTATATTGCAGCTAGACTCAATCGAGAACAACCTGAACCACTACTGGAGCAACATCAAGTGTCCTCGCACCGACGGCGTGAACTCATGGAAGAGCGAGTGGAACAGCTATGGCGTCTGCTCCGGCCTCAAGGAGTTGGACTACTTCAAGGCCGGTCTCCAGCTCAGAAAGAACGCAGATGTTCTCTCTGCTCTCGCTGAACAAGGTACATGTACAAATCATACCGACACACCATTTAGTAGTTTAAAAAACATACGCGCTAATGAAAACCGAGGTAAAATCTGTGTCTGAATGCTTTTTGGGCCGATGGATGAATAGGCATCAAGCCGGACTACCAACTGTACAACACGGCGTTCATCAAGTGGGCAGTGAACCAGAAGCTGGGTGTGACACCAGGAGTGCAGTGCAGGGACGGGCCATTTGGGAAGAAGCAGTTGTACGAGATCTACCTCTGCGTCGACAAGGACGCCAAGAGCTTCATCGACTGCCCTGTCCTGCCCAACCTCAGCTGCCCTGCCGAGGTGCTCTTCCATCCGTTCCACACCTGGATGCTCAACACCACATCGGCTGCCAACATCGTGATGCCCACTGAAACTGTGCTGGCCTAATTAAGAGCCTTTAATTTGCTAGCTAAGCTGCCATGATCTACTTGATCAACCTGTCCTAAGAGCATGTAGCATATGCTTAGCTTGTTGCTTTGGGTGAATAATCGCGCAACTTTTATACATTGTTGTGCCCTCTGAATAATATGTGCAGTACTATATATGAAGTATTGTACCGCATATGTTATGTATTACATGTGCAGGTCTTGTGCACACCTGTGAGGTGAATGGATATATTATGAATATATAACGTGTTGTATTATGAACTTTTTGTGCTGTTGGTTCTCCTCCTTGCCAAAAAAAAAACAGAGAGATGTGGCATGGACAATTATGTTAAGTACTCTCTCCGTTTTAGATTATAAGACATTTTGACTTTGGTTGAAGTCAAACTACTTCAAGTTTAACTAAGTTTACAGATAAATATAGTAATATTTATAACACCAAATTAGTTTCATTAAATCAATAATTGAATATATTTTCGTAATAAATTTATCTTGGGCTGAAATTTTTTTTATTTTTTTATAAACTTAGTCAAACTTAAAACATATTGACTTTGACCAAAGTCAAAACGTCTTATAACTTAAAACGGAGGAGAACCATTAATTTGGGATAATATTGAACTATGCTTTTATTAAAAAATTGTTCCACGTTCAATTTGATAGAAAAATTAGCATATAAACAATACGTAAGTGGTAACCGTTTTAGTTAGACTTGCTCAGATTTCATAAAATTCGTAGCTCCGCTACTGATTATCACTACATGCATATCAGCATATGTCGGTGAAAATACCACCGATCGATCGAGCGCCGCGTACGTACGTGTACGACGTGCAATTGCATAATGACCACTCGGTTGTTAGTTTCGTCCTGATCGTATACCTATGCTCGCCTATGCATGAATTCGTTTCACGCACATTACACAAATGTCATGATCAAACCCGTCGCGATCTACTCCCTTCATATTTTAATGTATGACGTCGTTGATTTTTTTTTTCAACGTTTAACCGTTCGTCTTATTCAAAAAATTTATATAATTATCATTTATTTTATTGTGACTTGATTCGTCGTCAAATGTTCTTTAAGCATGACATAAATATTTTCATATACGCATAAAAATTTTGAATAAAACAAATGGTCAAACGTTGGTCGAAAAGTCAAAGGCGTTACTCTGATGAGAGTAAATCCAACATTGAAATAATCGAATTATCGGGAGATCCACGCACGTGCTTGTTACCAGGTGTCATGCATGGTCCAAACTGTCGCGAACAGCTTAATTTGGTTTGATGAGTAAATCCAAAATTGAATTAGTCGAAAGATCTAGGCACAACCAACATGATAGCAGCAGTTATGTGGAGCTGGACGGTTGGAAGTCGTCGTGTCGCTTTAGAAATCAAAATACTACAACGAAATGATAGCGACGCAAACAGAAAATGTGCGTTTTTTTACTCCAGAGTTTTTCCTTTCTGAAAAATGACTGAACATTTTTTCTCTATTGATAAAAACTGGCAACGTAAAACTTACCGGAAAAAAAATCATCCAAGCTTCAATATATTTAGAGAAATTTCTATATTGCTATGTCGTAACTCGTAAGTATAATTAAAAGGTATTCCATGTTAAAAAATAATTAAAGAAACAAACTCTATCCAGAAAGTAGACATTAGCTCCGATCATCCAATACATTCAGCACCATGCAGATATTAGCAACATTGAAGTATATATGATGAAAACAACGGAAAATTGAACCGTGCAGTGTGCAGACCAGTCATTTCTGAAAGGCACCCGTGGTAAATTTGGGGAGCAGTGGCCACAACTTTCTGAGAGTCCTTTCAATGGTTTCGCCTTCTGTATTATTTTGAGATCGTATGACAAGACAACAACATACACGTGCATATTTTCATAAATTGATCTGAGTAGGCCAACCAGTATTGTGCATTGTAATTAGTTCCCAAAAATAACAGCACTAACTATTTTCATCAAAAATAGAAATTTACAGGGATAGTTATAAACCACTGCAATACCAAACAAAGCATTGCAGATTGCCTTAAAAAAATGAAGCATTACAAAAGACAGTTCTACCTTGCTAAACCATCATGAGAAACTGAGAATATGTGTGTTCATCTTCATCACAGTGCAGAATTCACTGAGTAATCAGTGTCAGCAAGTGGGATTCGATTGAGTATGAACTAACTACAATGTACAACATTTTAGACGCCTTGCCTGATTTGTGGTAATGTAAAACTGCACCTGCTGCCCAAAAAGTACAGGGCAAACCAAAGTACAAAACAGCCTACACTTCTTCAGCCCATTTCTCCTTCGGTATCTCACCAGAGTCGGTGATTACAACTTTCTTCCTAGGCTTGCCATTGTAAGTTCCAGCACCCCCTTCAATGGCGTACACATAATCCATTCCCTGAATCACCCTGCCAAACACAACATGCTCCCCATCCAACCTGCGGTACTTATAATTTCAGGAGTTGTACCATCTAGATTGATCACTGGTAACTTATAGTGTAATACAACTTACCAGCTTGTCTTGATTGTGGTAATGTAAAACTGCGATCCATTGGAATCAGGTCCAGAATTTGCCATGGCAATAACACCTGCATGATGACAGCAGACCAAGAGAGATAATCAGAAGCAGGGCAGAGCGCATAAAGAATATCTAAAAATCTATGCTCCATGTATAGGAGAAAAATGTGCAACTTAGCGATACATATAACTCATAAATAAAGGTAAAGTAGAAAGTACAAATCAATTGAGCATTCTGAATTTCTGACCTGGATGTGTATGTTTTACTATGAAATTCTCATCTGGGAAGGTGCCCCCATATATAGACTCACTTCCTTTTCCATCACCTCTAACTATGTCCCCACCCTGAATCATGAAGCCTGGGATAATACGATGAAATCTTGATCCTTTATAGTGAAGAGATTTACCCTTGTGCCCAATGCCCTCTTCTCCTGCAATAGTGAACAGAGTGCAATATGGATAATCATGTGAACAGAAGGTTGAATTTCAGCTGTAACAGGAATAGATCTAGGAAGAAGAAATACCTGTACAAAGAGCCCTAAAATTTGCTGCAAAATGAGAAATAAAAAATCAACAAGCTATTATTGCCAATTTATATTACAGTAGCAAACAAATGGGACAAACTATATGCTACAAATGATAATCAAAGTATCTTCAAGGGGAGATTTATTGTCCACACAAACAAAACATAAGAATTCCACAATCTGCTATGCCACTGTCTCCAAAGGATTAATCTCAAGTTTGTAAATAAATATGATGAAGAAAAGAATGGGCGTAAGATTACCAACTGTTTTTGGCACAACATCTCCATAAAGGCCAATGACAATTCTACCTGTAATGAGGGGAGCACACAAGAATTAGGTTAACCAGGGCTTAAGCTGAGTGACATGTATAGTAACGGTGCAAGCAACAAGTTTTATTCTTTCCATTGGAACATCCAAGACAGATTGTCATGATGATATAGTGATATACCTATATGTTGCCCATCAATTTCCACATCCAAGTATACCCTGTTAGTAACTGCAGGTAATCGAACCTCTCCAAGGCTCTGTACAAGGTGAGAAAGAAGAATAAATATTCTGTAACATTGAATCATCGTCTCACTAGTCACTACCACCATAACCGAGGCCAGAACCTATCTCCCAGATCGTCCACAAAATGAAACGAGCGCCCCACGTCTATATATTTTTCAGAATCTAAACACCATGTTCTAATCTTGAGACAAGGAGTGATGGCCATAGTCATGAGGTTCAACTCATTGTACAATAAGGCTACTGTTGTCAGCAAAACAGAAATCATTGTGCAGTCAGATGCCAGCAACTCGCATATATATGTATTCCTTGCTTTAAGTCTTTCCCTTCTGGCCCGGTGAGAAAAAAGTCTCCCCCTAAACGATTTATGGGGATGGTGTTCTCTACAATCCTACTAGTAAACAATATCGTCTAGCTACTGAAGCATCTCGAGCAGCGCAACACGAGCATACTAATTGCAGACATCACATTGCAGAACTGTAGGTGCGAGCAGCTAAAACCCAACTGCATCATGTAGAACAAATCAACAGTGGAACAGAAAGATCCAGTCTAATTCCACTCCGTTGCCACTACCTACGAAGCCAAGAATTGCCGCGCGGTAGGTCACTGATCAACCGAATCGAACAAATCCGTCCCCAACTGTAAGAGAAAGCCCATCATACCTCGCGGCGGGAGTAGGCGGCGAAGGCGAGGTAGAGGGCGGCGCAAGCGAGGAAGGCGACGGCCACCTTCCGCAGCATCGCGAACCAGGGGCGAGTAGTTGGACACTTCTACCTCATCAATTCGCCGCAACGACGGCGCAAATCTGCAGGCGAGAGCAGCCGCCCTCCCGATTTGGGGGCGATTCGCTCGCGGGCGGCGGAGACGAGATCGGCGACGAAGCAGACGACGCCCTCCGCCTCCGTGGAATGGGCCTTTTGGCTTTCCAATCCTTCTCAAAATGTTGGGCCCACTTTATGGCCCATTAAAGAGGACGAGGGACTCGCTCCGCGCCGCACCGATACAAATCGAAATGAGCCAGAGCCGCGCGTTAAGTTCACTTTGACTCCCTTGACTGGTGGCCGAAACTTACTCTTACCCCTCAATCACAATACCGAATATCTCAACCCTTTATAATTATTAAAGCCGATGCAATTTGACTCTCTTAACAATTTTAAAGGACAGTTTCGCTGAGATAGCAGTTTTGATATGGTCTTCGTCTCATGTGGCATTAGAATTAAGAAATATACGTGAGACTCTTTTGTTATTAAAAAAAATTATGGGACCTACTAACATGTGAGGTCCACATGACATCATCTATCCTTCCCTTCTTCCACCTCCCTCTCTCTCTCCCCGTTCTCTTCACCTTCATTCGTCCACAGGGAGCGGCGGCGGGCAGGAGAGCGGGCGCTGAAGCTGCGATGGGCGATTGGGCGTGGCCGGCGGGGAGAGGGGCCAGGCTGCACTGTAAAAAGGGTATCGCAGGTAACAAAAGGATTTGTTTGATAAGTCGGCGGCGGCCCGATCGATCTTCAATTCTCCAGGCACCTGCATGCAGATAACCAGTGGAGATGCCCCCAAATCTCCAATTCCTAAATAAAAAAGTTTAAATCATTTTTTTGACATTCACAGCTAGCAACTGTGTTCTGATTGGATCCAACCGCCTAACACCCAGGCAGGCGACAGAAGCTGTCATACAAGACAAAGGTTCTATTTAGTTTTTTAATAGGAGCTAGCAGTCTGCGAGGCTGAAGATCTCCGAACAAAATTGCATCATGCTCAAATATCATGTAGCTTCAGAATATCCCTCCCAGAACTGAAGAATCGACACCATGCATCCCAAAACTTGAATTCATCAATAACCCTCCTCTTCATCCTATAAAGAAAAAAAAATCAAACATGAGTAAACCACATAAGCTACATAGCCAATTGGTATAAGAATTTCATAAAAAATCACTATATATGCTTCAGGTTTCATGCATGGATTATCCTTTTGTTTTCTTTTTCTTTCTTTTCCTTCTTTTTTGATAGGATCTGGCATGAGTAGATATGCTATCAGCAATACCTTCATAGCATTATACCTCTGCAAGTTACTTCCTCCGTTTCACAATGTAAGTCATTCTAGCATTTCCCACATTCATATTGATGTTAATGAATCTAGACATATATATGTCTAAATTCATTAACATCAATATAAATATGGGAAATGCTAGAATGACTTGCATTGTGAAACGGAGGGAGTATAATGCAAACCATGTGTTTGGTTTAAGAGGGAACTCAGGGAAGGCATCAACCAAGGAAAAATGAAAAGACATGTTTAAAGGGTAGGAGCAACGCTGTGTTTACTTTCAGTACTGATGGCACTACAAAATCTGAGATTCTTCTAGGTGGCTAGGTCAATTTCATTTCTCTCTTCCAAGACTTACACCACTAGATCTAATCTATAGAGAAGCCATGGTGTGCATTTCAATTATGTTTAATTCCCCACAAACCCATCACCACCATATTTCTGGGCAACACTAAAATCTTCAGAAGGCATGATAAAACATGAAAATCTCCACATGAAATTCTATCTCGCTTCTAGATCCTAAGCTCAGTAACACAGGTAAAGCTTGGGAATGGCAGAACAACTCTATTTTGGAAAGACCAATGGATGCCACAACGTCTGGAATATACCTACCCAGTTCTGTTCTCTTTTGCCATAAACAAGGAGTGCACAGTTGAATCACAATTTAGTCACAATACTTGGCAGCTACAGCTCCATCCCAACCTCTCCTACCAGGCAGAAACAGAGTTACAAGCACTATTACAAAACCTGCAAAATCTAAGCCCCTCTCCAGAGACAGCAGACACAAGAGAACTGTATCCCAAGCCTTTGATCTCAACGGCAAATGCTTATAGACTGCTGACTTTTCATGGATCCCTTTGGAATCCGGCTGATTACATATGGATCTACACAATTCCTCAAACTGCAAGGTATTCCTGTGGCTAGCTTTTAGAGAGAGATTAAATACCAAAGCCAATATGGTCAACAAAAAATGGAGTAATGATCCCCACTGCCCAATCTACCCGGCCCTGGAATCAGCGGACCACATTATCCTAAGATGCAGAAATGCAAACAACCTTTGGAAAAGATTAGGACATGCATTTGGCCAAAAGATCTGAAACAATCTCTGACTTCATCCAAGCAGTCATTGACAGGACCCAATCAACAAAAAGGTTAGAACCAATCTGGTTTGCAGCATGTGCTTACACGCTGTGGAAATCGTGAAACAACATGGTCTTCGAAAGACAGATGGACCATTTTCAGAACATCACACAACAAATATGTGATACCCTAAAGCTATGGTGTCTGCGAAGCAACGCAGGAACTAGCCACGAAATTCAATCTTGGTGTGCGAGGCTGTCATAGGCAACAGCCTGCTGTTTATACCCCTGTAAATCCACCCCCACCCCCTTTTTTTTCTCTTTATTTTTCCTCTCACCCTGTATCTCTGTAATCTTGTTCTTTCTTTCCTTTTCTCTCTCTCACTTAACCTAAAATCTTGTAACTTTGAATCTCATTTCTATTAATGAAATGACTATAAAGTAAGTTCAGGGTACAATAAGGATTTTATCCAAAGAAATAACTTGCAGACTGAAGATCATCATTCCTAAATTCACTGATACAAGCATAAACTGCATGGACATTGTTCTAAAGCATAAAAACTACATTTAAAATCAGTTTACTGTGTACAAAACGATTGCTCAAAAACCATCTATTGTTATATATACATAAAAGAAATCCACTGTAGTTGCTTGTGGTACAAACAACATGATTCAGTGCGTAAAGTTGCTACTTTTTTTGATTTGTGGATGCCAACGGAAAAAAAAATCTTGGTTTTCAATCAAGTAAAAACAACATGATCTGGTGGGTAAAATTTCCTTGGATTTTTACCGGGGCAAGAGTTGAATAGTATATATGCATCCAATCAACCTACATTATTATCATGAAGAGTTAATTTTTACTGTTTCAATAATGTAATACTCATATCCACACATATCCCTTTTGAATCATGCAGGTTCATAACATAGTTCGTGGGTTGAGCAGTCTGACCGCCAGTTCTTCCGGTTCGTTGCTGGTCAAAAACCGATCAAATAAATCAAAGTTTCCCAATTAAGCGCAACAACTACACTGCTATACTGGCTAGGGGAGAGCAACGTATGCTGGGAGACCAGAGTTCGAATCCCACACAAGCTTTTTTTACCTAGTAATTACTTTCAACCATATAATATGCCAATATGAAATGTCTAGCGCCTACTTGTTAGTACAAAATAAATAAAACACACATGCCAAAGTTCGAATCTCACACAAGCTTTTTTTACCTAGTAGGAGTAATAATTACTTTAAACCATATAATATGCCAATATGAAATGTCTAGCGCCTACTTGTTAAATACCAAATAAATAAAACACACATGCCAATAAGTTGAGCATTTAGGAGCAGGGCAGTTACTTCCATACAGTGCACATGAAATTGCTAAACTAGAAACAAATAGTAGCAGTTCCATGAAAGGATTAACTCTTTACCTTAAGATATAATGCATGATCAACAGTAGAGCCCTTCAGCAACTTTCTTCCCACTTCCATGCTCTACAAAAATAGAGCATGTTAAGAGAGGCCTAAATTTTTTTAAAAAAATGAATAAACTCCCAAACGTGTTATTTTCACTTACCATACATCAAATGATTCAAATGAGGATCCAATTTTAAATTTCAGTTGAAATATCATTGCACCTATCACTTCAACGCCAAAAGCGCATAAGTGAGCTACCACCAATGCAACGGTACATCCTGTACATTCTCCCATAGCGGTATTTAATATACCCTCAAAAATAAAACGGGATAACGCATGTAATGTCACAGAAGCCCATTCTGCCCTTCGGTCTGGCTTGAACTTCAAACGAGTGTCAATGAAGGACTTGCAAAAAACGAAAAGGGACAACACAAGCACATAACAGAATCCCTCGATCCAGCCTACTGAAGATCCCAGTTCTTTCTCGTGCTTTTTCAGCCCAAACTTCACCCAAAACAAGCAAAAGTGTACTATTCCAAGTGCCCAAAATATACTAATCAACCTTTTGCACCGGTTCTTCTCCTCTTCAAGTCTTTTCTGGCGCTCCTCAATAGCTTCAGTCCAATCTTCAATATCTTTACTTCTACCATTAATGCACTTAGTGTGATCTATGGCCACAATTCTTGCTGTACTTGCATCACGAAGTCTATCATGTGCAGCTTGCTCTTTCTTTTTTGCAGATTGCTCTCTCTCCGTTTCAATGTCTGCTATTATTTGGAGCTGGTTGGCTTTCTTTTCGAATTCATTGGCATTTGCTTTGGCAATCTCAGCATCACGGCGGATTTTGTCAGCTCGGGACATGGCTTGTCTCTCGACCAGACGTAATTTCTCTAATTCTTCCTCATCTTTCTCAACCTGAGTATGAACCTTATCAATTCTAGCCTTAACTGTTGCATGTGCCTCAAAAAGCTCCTGTAGTGACTGCTTTAACTGCTCTTCTTGCTTCAACAGATCCTGAATTCTATCCATAGATGCTGCTTGTTCATTAAGGCTGTGTTTAGATCCAAAGTTTGAATCCAAACTTCAGTCCTTTTCCATCACATCAACATGTCATACACACACAACTTTTCAGTCACATCATCTCCAATTTCAACCAAAATCCAAACTTTGCGCTGAACTAAACACAGCCTAAGAAGCTTCTGTACTGAGTGTCTCACTCTCACCTCCTCTTCTTCCTTCAATACAGCCTCAAGTTTGAACATCGCCTCAGCACCCTCACATATATTCCTCCTCTTCCCTTTTTCCTCCCTCTCCATAGCAGACATCTTGGTGTTGTTTGCCTTCAAGTCAATTGTTGGATTGAATGGAGCTCCGGTAGGAGGGGCTGTGGGAGATGAAGAGGCGGGAGAGGTGGAGGAGCTCTCCCGAACCACCGAGAATAGCGACGGCATTGGGGAGGGAGGGGAGGTGGAGCAGCTCCGAGGCGGCGAGGTTGAGCGGCTCCGAGGCGGCGAGGTGGAGCGCTCCCGAACCTCCGAGGAGGGCAGCGACGGCGAGCTGGCGCCGCCGATGGTGTCCCCTACCACGGGCGAGGGCAGCGTTGGGGAGGGAGGGGAGGTGGAGCGGCTCCGAGGCGGCAAGGAGGGCAGCGACGGCGAGTTGGCATCGCCGATGGCGTCCCTTTCCACGGCCGGGCGAGGGCGGCGTTGGAGAGGGAGGGCCTTCTGCGGCTGCGGGCTTCCGGGAGGCGGAGTGACAGCTGAGACGTGGCCTTCCCGAGAAGCCGCGGAAGGGGATGACACGACCGTTGGTGCCGGCTGCGTCGGACATGTCGACGGCGAGACGGGGACGCCTGCGGCTCCCGGCGTCGGGGAGGTGGGGGAGACGAAGGAGCTCGGACTTGGAGGCGGGGAGGAGCGGTCCCGATTCGAGCGGCGATGAAGGCGAGTCGCCGACGCGGCCGGCGACGCCTCCCGTAGCTGCGGGTGCGGAAGGTCGCGGTGGCGGTGGCGGTGGCGGTGGAGGCGACGGCGGCGAGGTGGGAGCAGGGGAGGGCATGACGACGCCGTCGCCTTCCTCCATTGCGGGTGGTGACTGGTGAGGTGACCCCCGCCGTGGAGTGAGTGAGTGAGGGTTTTGCGGAGTTTTTCCGAGGCGGAGACACCGGAGACGAAGAGGGCTGGAAAGGGAAAGTTAGACGCAACCTGCCTTCCTAATCTGGCTAATTAATGCGCAAGTTCGTCTTCCTAATTAGGACCATCTTCCTTAATCACTTTCTTCTTTAAATCACCAATTCTGATAGGCTCCCCTTCCACCAATGCATGTTTAGGTCTACTCTTTAGGCCTTGTTTAGTTAAAAAAAATTACCCAAAAATATCCCATCGAATCTTTTGACACACGTATAAAACATTAAATATAGATAAAAAAACTAATTGCACAGTTTGCATGGAAATCACGAGACGAATCTTTTGAGCTAATTAGTCCATGATTAGTTATAAGTGCTACATTAACCTATATGTGCTAATGACATAATAATTAGGCATAATAAATTCGTCTCGCGGTTTTCAGGCGAGTTATGAAATTAATTTTTTCATTCATGTCCGAAAACCCCTTTCGACATCCGATCAAACGTCCGATGTGATATCAAAAAATTTTCTTTTCGCGAACTAAACACACCCTTAATTTGAAAAGAAGAAGAAAAAACTATTCTAATTTACTCACCAAACATTTCCATTGGATCACTAAACTTTTTATTAATCCTTTCTTTACTCATTTTACCCTCCAAATTATTAGAAAATGGTACATTTTACCGGTTAATAGCACTTATCTTTTTTGTTTATCTTTATACATGTCATATTTTAATCTAAAATTTTCTAGAGGCATAGATGATATTATTATCAAAATTTAAACCGTTTTGAAAATTTTCATTATTATTTACTTGAAATTTAAAACCTTGTACTAGTGTTTCCAACATATGTAAACAGCCTAAAAAAACTCGAAAAAATGTTGAGAGGTAAGTGGTAATGCATATATCAATCCATCATATTTTATTGCAAAATACAACTTATATAGAGATAAATGACCAAAAAAACCATTATGGAGAAAGGCGAATCTTGTTCAATAGGTCAGAGTGTAAAATGAGTCGATAAATTGCTTAGGGAGTTAAGTGCTTCAGTGAAAAAGTTCAAGGGAATAAAATAGACTTTTTCCCCCTTAGTTACTAGTTTTACTAATAGGATGCACGCATTTTTCTCTTTCGTTTGGAAAAATTCCATTTTACTATCTCAAACTATTTGCATGGTACAATCAACTCGTAAATATACTCACATATAACCCTCTAATATATTAATATATATTTATAGGGTATATTAATAGTATCTTACTCCCTCCGTCTAAAAAAACTCAACCTACATCGAATCTGGATAAAGAATAGTCCAGATTTATTGTATTAGGAGGGATCATCCTCTCCTAGGTTAAGTTTTTTTTAAGACGGAGGGAGTAGTTAGCAACTTAGCACCCTAACTTGGTTTTACTGCCTGATTTGACTAGTCAAGCCACTCCCATCACGAAAAATCTAACGGGCAAACGATCGCCCCACGCGATCGGTTCTCCTTCCCACCTGTTTTCTTTTTTGGTCACCATATTATTTTTCTTTTTTTAGTAAGTTTATACACCTAAAGTTTACACATCTAAACTTTATCCACCTAAAGTTTGTAGAGCGAATGTTTATAAGTCAAAAGTTTATATACCCGATTCAAATTCGTATTTAAGTATTTTATATATAGAGTATTTCTATACATAAAGTTTATGCGTGCATTATTGTCCTCTTTTAGTAAGTTTAGACATCTAAAGTTTATTCACCTAAAGTTTTGTAGAGCGAATGTTTATAAGTCAAAAGTTTATATACCTGATTCAGATTCAAATTCAAATTCAAATATTTTATATATAGAATATTTCTATACATAAAGTTTATGCGTGCAAAGTTTACAATATAAAGTCTATGCGCGTGAATGAGAGTATTAGATTTTTTTCTAATTTTTTTTACTAACTTTGTTTTTTTTTAAAAAATTACTCCCTAATGGGAGTATGATGAAAAGGAGAAAAGGGAGAGGAGTATAGGGGGAGGGGCGTGTTGATTGTTGGGAGTGATCAACTGCCCATTAGGGGCGCCCCTCCCATCATATACCATGCACACATTACTCTCTGATTTGTTCCTTTCTTCAGCCGAGCCCACCGCATGATGGCGTGGAGGTATAGATGGCAAAAAGCCCAGGCCCGATGGTCGGCCCACGGCATGGAATTTTGGCCCGGCCCAGGCACGCCACAACTTGATTGGTTACGGGCCCGTGCCAGCCCCGTCCGACCATTGCCCGTGCCTGGGCTTCTTCGTCGACACGATGGGCACAGCACGGCACGACCCAATAATCAGGGAAGTAAAATGGGAAAAGTACACCGAAGGTCCCTCAACTCGTCATCGAGTTACAGAATCGTCCCCAAACCGCAAAACCAGATACCAGACGTCTCTCAACTAATAAAACCCTCAACTAATAAAACCGTTCACTTTAGGTTCTTAGGTGGTTTTGACTCCGGTTTTGTCTGATGTGGCGGCGCGGCTGAGTCAGCATGGAACCCATATGGGCCCCACATGTCAGCGTGACCACGTCAGCCTCACTCTCTTTTTTTCCCTCTTCTCTCCCTTCCTCATCTCTCTCTCTTCTCAGTGCAAGGTGGCGATGCTCCGGCGGTGATGGCGGCGACGCTGGCCGGGGGGAGGGAGCGGCGCGTGGCCGGCGGGGGGAGGAGCCACGGGCGGCGGGGGCAGGAGCGGCGCGCGGCTGGCCGAGGAGCGGCGGGGGGAGGAGCCGCGGGCGGCGGGGGCAGTAGCTGCGCGCGGCCGGCAGGGGGAGGAGTCGCGAGCGGCGGGGGCAGGAGTGGCACGCAGCCAGCGGGGGGAGATATCCCCTCCATCGTCACATCGTGCGGAGAGGCCGAGGGAGTGCAGGAACTCGACGCGCTCGAGCACCCGCGGCACTTCGTGCGGCCTGACGTCCATGACCTGGAGGTACTTGACAACGGGGGCAAGGTCGACGACGACGCTGGCGTGGAGCACCTGCGGGTAGCGGCGGAGCAGGTCCGGGAGCGCGTCCTGGCGGACGCCGAGCTTGCCGAGGTAGTCGAGGACGGGGACCATGTTCTTGCGGACGCTGCAGCCCAGGGCGAGCGGGTACGCGGCGAGGCCTTCGTTGGAGAGGCCGAGGGACTGCAGGAACTCGACGCGCTCGCGCATGACGTCGACGGTGGCGGGGAGCTCAAGGCCGGCGAGCTCGCCCGGGTCGACGCCGAGCGAGGCGAGGAACGCGTCGACGTCGGCGCGGCAGGCCAAGATGGCCAAGCCTTCCATTCCATTGATGTCTTCTACCTACGACCTCTCCCGGGAGGGAGAAGCGGGACACGCCGTCAATACGGCGCCGTCATCCTCGATCTCCCCTTCCTCTGCCGCCTCTCCCGGACCGCCTCGACGGCAGCCATCGGTGACGCCGCCGCCGCCGCATCGGCCCTCGGCCCTCGGCGCGTTGTAGTTCATGACGGCAGTGGGGGAGATCTCGCACGGGCGGGCGACGCCGGCGCTAGCGCCGACGTGGGGCCGCGACGCGATCCCGTGCCCGTCGTCCGCCGTCGTCGACCCACGCCCCACCCCGACGGAGCTCCGCCTCCAGTACCTCACCATGGACATCTCGCCGCAGCCGCCGCCGCCTTGCTCCCCTGCTCCCGCGTCGTCTCCGCCGCCACATCGCCGGCCGCCGGACCTCCTCTCCCACCTCGCACTGTCAGTCTCCACCCCACCCGCTGGCGTCGATGGCGTTGCTCCGCCGCGGTGTCCTCCTGAGGCGCACGACGCACTGGGCGTCGTGGCGGTAGCTCAGCCTGACCAGGCTCCCCACCATCCGGTACCGAGACCGCGCCCTCACCGTGACGGCAAGCGGCAGCCCGCCGCCGGACTCGAGCAGGTCCTCCTCCCCTATCACTACCGCCGCCGATCCCATCAGATGAAATGACAGGGTGTTTAATGACAGAATGACAGGGTGAAATATGTGCATGAATACGCGCATGTGACGATGTGCATAAATTTATATCTAATATAAATATTCGTATTTTTCCGTTCGTCACATCTAATTTTCATCCATACACAATCCAATTTGGTTAACAATAGCGATTAAAAAAATTGCAAAAAAAAAAAATCAGCAACCGCCGACATCACCACCGCCGCCGGAGTGAGCCGCTGCTGCCGAATCCGTCGGCGGTGGCGGCGACCGTGGGCAGATCCGGCAGCGGCGGCTCTACCCGCGGACGCCGCAGACGCCGTCGACGCTGCCGTATGGACGGACGCCGACGATGCTGCCGTTGGGAGGTTGCCGTCGTCGAGAGGGAGGGAGGGACGGCCGTCGAGGCCGACGGGGAAAGGGAGAGGGGGAGGGACGGCCATCTCAGCCGTCTCCGCCGCACCCCGCCGTCGTCGCGCCATGCCGGTGAGACAGGAGGGAGAGGGAGAGAGGGAGCGGTAAGCCGTCGCCACCGCACCCCGCCGGTGAGACAGGAGAGAGGGAGCGGCACCAGTGGGGAGAGGCGGCGTTGGGGGCGGGGGAGGCGGCCGGCTCGGTTGGGTGGAGGGGGAGGGGGAAGGTTAGGGTTAGGGGTTTTCATCAATTTGGTACTGATCTGAGGCGTCCATCAAAACGAACGGCTCAGATTGATCGAGCGTTGAGCCGCACGCGAGCCGGCAGTCCAGCAAGCGAGAGGAAGAGTTAGGGATATAAATTAGACTTTGGTCGCTTGTGGGCTGAAAAAGACGCATAGAGATAAAAGGATTTTTATTTAGATTTTTATTTAAATAAATGCTAAAATAATGTTTGTATTATCAAAATTAGCAATTAAGCTACGTAAATTCCAAGAAAATTTCAATGAGTGTAATTAATAATATAGAAAAATTAATAAAAATTAAATCCAAGCATAACATTTTATTTCTCATACTTACTTTACTTATAAATTAATTTAATTATATACCTAACTACTTAAAAAATACCCAAATATTTCCAACCATAACATTTTATTTCTCACACTTACTTTACTTATAAATTAATTTAATTATATACCTACCTAATTAAAAAATACCCAAATATTTCAGAAAATTTTTATTTCATTTAATTAGAATTAAATATGTTTTAATTCAATTTTATCTTTTTTTTATTTCCGTTGCAACGCACGACCACTTTTGCTATAATTTGAAAGAGTGTAATTAATATTGCAGAAAATTTATATTTCATTAAATTAGAATTTGATATGTTTTAATTCAATTTTCTCGTTTTTTTCTTTCGTGATGCGAGCTAAGCAAGAATATTTTTATCTATCTTGATTATCATTAGCGCAATGAATAATTTACCTATCTTGGAACATTATTATATTCATGTTAACGGTGTACTTTATAGAATTTATCCGTTCCTTTACCCCGTAGCGAAGCACGGGCATTTTGCTAGTTAATTAAAAAATCAGTAACTACATAACATAAGCTGATGATAGTAGGTATAAGCACATGGTGTACCAAAAAAAAATAAGTTTAAGCATGTGCACAAATTGATTGATACTCCACTAGAAAGGCATGGAATTAGCAACTTTCCTTGACAAACTGCAAGAAAAGCAGCTCCTCTACCTTTAGCAGAGTCCTGTGGGGAAGTATAGTCACAGCCTCACAGGAAACGGGATTGGTGGTAGTGTTTCTTAACCCGAAAACGTTGTCCCCATCGAACGCGGGGATATTTTTGTCCACACTTTATAAAAACCTTTTGCACGTAGCGTACCATATTTCTCAACCCCGTCCTCGATCCCATCAACCCGAGAACTTTGTGAGGGAACCCTTTGTCACTCATTTCTTCACAATTTGTTTTGCTCCTCCTTTCTTTAGAGGAGCCTTGCCAAGGATTTCGTTGTACGTAGCACTTCATTTAGGACAGGCTCAAGTTCCTCCGTACTTCCTCTAGGCTCCGAAAGAATCAAATCTTAAATAAGTAGTAAAAAGGGAGGCAGCTTCTAATGAGACATGCTGCCTTCTAGAATTTTGAGAAAAATGTTTTAGAATCCTGGACAAAACCTTACCAGTGCATACATGCTATTGAGCCGACCTGTCTGAGACCAGCGCCTTTGTAGTTTCTCTTAACAAATTGTAGCTAGGAAAAAACACGAGAGCACCGCCAGGCACTATTCTGCATATTTCTTCTAGGGTAGCTCCAAGTTCATCCTGTTTAAATGCAAAAAGAATTCTGAATCATATGACTGTATCAGATTAAAACAAAGAAAAAGGATAATGAGAAGTTACGTGCAAAGAATGTTCGTTTGCAGTTCTATAACTGGCATTCAGTCGACATCCTGATGGGCAAGATGATAGCCCAGTTGCAAAAACCTGCCCTGTGCACAAGATACACTGAGATAAATGTTGATTTTAACTTACGTCACTAATGTGATTGAGGGGCTAGAGCTCTCCAGGTAAAAGCTTCTTGACTCTAGAGTTAGATATAACCTAGACTCTAGAGCTAGTGCAAAAACTGGAAACAGGGTAGAGTTAGATATAAGTAGAATTCAAATTAGTGAGACAAGTAGTTCCATTTTTGTCAGTTAATGCAAAATATTTAGCTTTCATATCCTTTGATCAGTCAAGCTATTTTTAACCACACATTGTACAGATTGGCATGCCAATTTAGCAATATCCACATTTTTTTAGGGCTAGCAGTATGCCTACTAATCAAATGTAAACACTCCAGCGCCAATTGCCATCACTTGATGCCTGGGAGAATACAGAAAAGGCTTGTGTATCATTGCACTAATAGTGATAGGAAAGAAACTGTTTCGTACCAGAATGAATGAGACTTGTACGAAGTCATTGCATTTCGAGAAAAATGTACTAAAATGTTTGAAATGAAATGTTTAGGATGAAAGAACATTTCTAAGGTGGGCCCTTAACACCCTATAGCAAAAATTCATCAACTCAAGGCTATGCAGTTCTATAGCAGAGCCAAATTGCAACAAATATACCAGAGAACCAACATTGATATGAGGAGCTTCCATGCAAACTTCAAACTGGAAACCAAGTTCAGATGCAAAGGATCCCATTGGAGAGTGTGTGCTTTGAAGATGTAGTTAAGAACCAGCTATATATATTATCTCCTATTGCATAGGAACTGAATATTTCAGAAAACTTCAAAAGTGGCATAGCATAATAATTTTCAGTTTGGAAGATCTCTATATCTCAGTGTGCTATGCACCTATAAGGTGTACTGCTGAAAAGCCTATTTTTCGAGCTTGTCTATAAGGCTGAAAACCTTATCAAGTTTCAGTTTGCAGAAGCCTGAATTGCATAAATTCAAATTATAGCTACCATTCTGCATGGCTTGCATATGTACCACGTACCTATTTTCTCTATGCTGTTTTCACAATCATATTTGCTACAGTAAAGCAAAGCACTCTACTAAGTCTTTGAAGAAAAACATGAACGGAGATTTACCTAGATGTGAGAATTACCGAAAGGGTTAGATACTGAATGTCTCGTAAAAGAACAGCAGGATTAATTGAGACATCACAGACTCATCACACACTTCCATCCAATGACAGAAGTGACAGAATTGCCTGCAAATGGTGTAATTAAAAGGTGACATGAACTACAAATTTGAGAAAGTAATGCAATAATGAAAGAGATAGAAGCATATCTTATAATTGAATCAAACTGAGCCAAAACTCAAAAGTAGATCAAGCAACTATCTATTAGTTCAAAGGACCACGCATCTCCCTCACCAAATATGAATTTTATATGTACAATATATGGATGAAAATTTTCCATTATCATAAAATGTTCACAAGGAAATTCCACATTATTTGAAAATATTTTCACGAATTAAACACGCTTTCTCACAGATGATAAGACATCATATTAGTACCTTCACGTTTAGAAAAACGCTGTAATGCAAGTTGGGTAATCATTTCAATGGCAGCCATTCTCAGCAAAAGAGTGGCTCGATCAGGAGAATAAACATGCATAATGCACAATAACATTAGGTTTTAAATGCCTGAAGGATGAAGAAACAAAATAATTGCTGCTTATTTTCTAGTGTCATAGCTGAACCACCACTTAAGTGCACTCCTCCTGATTCAGCATCTGAAGCAGCTTTAACTGCCTAAAACAAGAAGATGATATCAAGATGGTTGCTGAAAATTTTGAGTGTTACAGAGAAAATGTTTGACAGCAGCATTAAGAGTTAATGTGTTGTAATACTTGAAATAGGAAGCACTTTGTTGCACACTCTTGCAATAGTGCCAGCATACTGGAGTTCCTTAGTCTCTTCACCAGTCCAACTGAGGATTACAAAAAACAAAAAGTTATAACCAATTGAATGTAACAGAAATGTTTATTATTTTATCATAATGATTCATTGCAAACATGTACTCCCTCTGTTTCATATTATACCCCCTCCGTCCCATAAAAAATCCAATTCTTGGTTTGAATCTGGACATAAGGATTGGGTTTTTTATGGGACGGAGGGAGTATGTCGCTTTGACTTTTTTCCTAGTTAATTTTTTTTAAGCTCGACCAAGTTTAAAGAAAAATTTAGCGACATCTAGAACACAAAATTAGTTTCATTAAATCTAACCTTGAATATATTTTGATATTATGTTTGTTTGTGTTGGAAATGCTACTATATTATTCTATAAACTTGGTCAAACTTAAAAAAAAAAATCAAAGCGACTTATAATATGAAATGGAGGGGGTAGTAATTTCTTTGAACCATGAAGATGGAAGGTAAACTGAATTTTTTAAACCCAGCATTTAAATTTGTCAAAAACAATTGAAAACATCAAAAAGCTTCCAGCACCACATGCTATGTCTTCTATGTGGCTGCAAAACAAAGGATGCAGATTGTGAAATGAATACATTAACTCTTCTTTACTACAACTGATCTAAAGAAAAGATTCGGAGTTGGTTGATAAAGTAGCCCAGGAAATGTACCATTTCTTTATACTTTACCAAAGTTACTATTGAAGTATATCAATCAAGATAACAAATAATCAATTGACTGTAAACAAGTCTCATAAGTCTGGACTTACTGTGCCTCATCAAGTTTGACTTGTGGTTTTCTGAAAAACTTCCCTTCTCTGATCAAACTATGTTTTGATAGTGAAGAAAACTAATCTGACTATCCAACCTCGCAGCATTGTATAATAGTGGGTGTGCTTAGATAATTACAGAAAACAAGAAAGATGTACTATCAGAATTCATGATCCGGTGATTGGATATTCAGATAAATTTTCTGCTCTATCAAAACATCTTTCATCAGTCTGATAGTATGTCATTAACAGGCTCATAGCATATAGAAATACACTGAAGTCTAAAATTTCAAGCACAAGACTGTAAACAGCTAGACTTAAAGCACTAGAACAAAGAACTTGTTTACCTTCCAAATAAAAAAGAACTTGTTTTTCCACATAGGGATGGAACGAGTTCTCAGATGACTTCTTATTACTAACAAGTTCTTATTACTAACCGATCTGTTAAATAGCACTATTTCCTATCTAACAATAGATTACACAGGGATGGAACTGTATGCCAGTTAAATGGCATTATTCAGTATTAAATACTTGGAGGATTTTCCAGATCATGCATTTCAGTTGGGGCAGTGGTCTTCGAGCTTTCATTATCGTAGCTGAGCACGGCCGCAAAGCAGATGACAATTGAAGTCGCCCAACACATGATCTTCAACGATTTGGGCATCTTGGGGACAAGGAAGCCGGAGAACAAGATCATGATGCCAATCGAGAACATGATAGCGACAGTGATGGGAGACTTTATTGTGAGAGGGATCTTCAACTTTTTGAAATTCTCCCAAATGTGAACCTTACGTTCCTCTTGGTCATCAAGCATCCTGAATTTCTCCTCGATATAATTTATGTAACGTAGTCGGGTACCGTCAGGTACCTTGTATTCCTGGATAACGCCCTGCTTGATGTAGTCAGGTACATCTAGTCTTTCAACCTTGTTGATATAATCTTGAACATATCTCTCCTCCATATCTTGCAGGGCCTTCACCTTCTTCGCCGCCCGCTCATCAGCCATCATCTTAATCCGAAACTGCTGTGTTTTCTCCCAGGCTAGAAACTTCAATTGCATTTCGTGGTTACGTATCGCGAATTTATCCTCTACATTATTCTTGTACTCGAGATAGGCCTTGTCAGTTATCTTTCTTTCCCTGAGGAAATACTCCTGCATGTGCTCAGATATGTCTTCCCTGTCATAACTAGGCTTAATAAATTGTTGCTTGTATCTCTCTTCCAAATCTTGTAGTGCTTGTGCCTTCTTCGCTGTCGCCGCCGCCTCGATCCAAAACTTTTCTGCTTCTTTGCGAGCCTGGACCTTGAGCTCCCTCTTGTGATCAAGTATCCGGGGATTTCCATTGAAAACAGCATTTATGAACTTGATCCGGAGATTGTCAGGCACCTTGTAGTTGTTGTAGTGTTGCTCCTGGAGATCCAGCCTGATGTGCTCGGGTAGGTCATAACGCTTGAGAATCCTTGCAGTCTGTTGGTTGAATTTGTACTCCAAATCTTGTAAGGCCTGCGCCTTCAACCTGTTGTAATCCTCCGAAATGTAACCCTTAGGTTCCTCTTCGTCATCAGGCATATTGAATTTCTCCTCTATATCATCTATGAAAAGCAGCCGGATATTATCAAGTAGGCCTTGCTGGAGGAAGGCCTGTTGGAAGTACTCAGATATGTTTTCGCTGTCAAAAGTTTTCTTAACACCCTGAACATATCTCTTCTCCTCATCTTGCAAGGTCTGCACTTTCTTGGCTGCCCGCCCATCGGCCATTGTCTTGATCAGAAACTGCTGCGATTCCTCCCAAGCTCGGATCCTGAGTCGCATTTCGTGATTACGTATCCCGAATCTGACCTCTACCTCATCCCTGGCATCTTCCATGAATTTCCTGAAGCAGTACTCCCTAATGTGGTCAGGCATGTCTTGCACGCCAGGATAATGCTTAAAGAACAATTGCCTGTTTCTCTCTTCCATGTCTTGTAGTGCTTGCGCCTTCTTCGCCGCCCCCGCCGCCTCCACCCAAAACTTCTCGGATTCCTTCCGAGCCTGAACCCTGAGTTCCTCGTCTTGATCAAGCATCCCGGATTTCCCCTCGAAAACGGCATTCACGAACTTGAGCCGGAGATCGTCAGGCACCTTGTAGTCATTGCGGTGCTGCTCATGGAGATCCAGCCTGATGTGGTCAGGTAGCTGGTAGCAGCTGAGAATCCTTGCAATCTGTTGGTTGAATTCCTCCTCCAAATCTTGCAGCGCCCGAGCCTTCTCCAGCGCCCACTTGCCATTGTCAGCCACCACCATCTCCGCCGCCGGTAACTCGGTCGCTCAAGATTTTCGGGACGAGTCAGCCAAGATGCGATGCGACGGGGAGTGAAGGGTCGCGTTAAATTTGAAGGGGATGGAACCCCAAGGGAAATCGGAGACGGAAACCGAACCTCATCGTCGCTGCTCTTGCGCGGTTACTCCCCGAATCCGAATCAACGACGACGGCTGCTGAAATCGCATCGATCCAAGTCTGCGTCGGTTTCTTGTTTTTCAGCGTATATGTTTGGAGATATTTCTCGTATTCCCCGTCTTCTTTACGGTTTGGATTAGTAGCTTTTTCTTTTCTTTATTTTTTTAAAAAAGTTTCAGAAAACTCCACTCCATATTTTATGGTTAAATTTGCACAAAACCACATGTATTATGAAGCGTGGCAAATAATCACAGGTTTTATGGTCTATCTATACTAATATAAAAAGGAGAAGTTGTGACTAGCAATCCTACAGGTGAAATCAATCCCCATGTCCCCACCCTCTGTGTAGCGGTGAAATCACCGATTCCTCATCCCACCGGGCGAGCGCGAGAACCCCTTTCGCAGTAACACCGCCTCGAGCGCTATCCCCGCCACCGCTTGCCGCGTTATTCCCGCGCACAGAGCAATGACACCGGATGATGCGCCTCCTCGCGCATTGAATACCAGTGCGCACATCCTCCCCTAATAAGTAGTGGCCGCAGGCCGCCGGTCATCTCTTCCGCCGTCGCGTGAAGGCTCGGTGTCGGGGAAGGCCACACCTGCGGGAGAGGGGCCTAGGGTTTCACGAGAGCGTGTGCTGGTGTGGCGTCGTGGCAGTGGCCAGATCAGAAGCTAGCCGGCCGTGGTGGAGTTCGTAGTGTATCTTGGCCGCTCCGTTTCGTTGCATGTCGGCCGTCGTTTCACTCCTCAATGGCTCAATTGGAAGGTTGGGGGGGCTGTTGTTGATTTGGATCTTGACAATGGAAGAAGCCTCAAGGGAGCTAGCGAGGTAATGGTCCATTTGTTGATTCCATCTCCAGATTTTGCTGTCCACATTGTTTCACATTGCCACGGCCTCCACCATTCGCTGTTCTTTTTATCACCAGCCTCCATCTCCGCCATGCTGCTTCTTGTCGCCGCCGGCTTCTGGCATGTAACTTCCTCTGTGCCGCCCCAGATCTGAGGGTTGAGGCCGCTGCTGCCACCGGAGGCTGGGACACATGCACCAACCACCCGTTGCCTCGGCGCCCCCGTCGGAAGTGCACCACGGCTTAACCACCCACTCCCTCCGTCCTCGCTGACTTCTGCTCCACCTCGCTGTCGGTTCCTCTGTAGTCGCCGATGCCGACGGCTCCACCCCCGGTTCTTCTCCACCTTCCATGGCAGCGCCACCCGAATCTGCGGTCGTGGTTCAGAACGGCGACGGCTTGGGCGTGGAGAGTCGCAGTCGCGTCATCGTTGAGGTTCGGCAGGAGGAAAGCCGGTGAAGCCGCGGCAGGAGCGGCGCGGAGCGCGCCGTTGATGGCGACGTCGAAAGTGTCGAGGAAGCCGGCAGGGGCACCGTGGGCGCCTGGGGCGTCGGCGCGGTTGAAGAACGAGCTGTGGGAGACGTCGATGCCGGGAGCCAGAAGCAGCTCACTGTTGTTGCAGGCACCAGGTCTGACGAAGAGGGTGGTAAGCTCCGGCGGGATGGCATCGGCCTCAGACCCTCACCATCTGCTGCTCCAGCCATATGAAAGCAGGGATGTTCCTCTTCCTTTATCATGGCTTTGCCTCCTCTCCATCCGCCATGCCATCTCAGGAGATTGATGCTTCTAATTAAGGTCTAACACTACCTTTTTCCTCAGCCGACAACTTCATTCATATTCGTTCATTCATTCCTGTACATGGTGCTCGATGAAACTCTGTTGTGATTAAGTTTTTCGTTCTGCGTGGGACGATAAAATAAACTCAATTCTTTTGGTTTTTGTAGTCTTTTGGATATAATACATGGTAGAGCTTCCTCCGGGTGGTTGGTAGCAGAACAAGATAGTATAAGTTTTCAAGTGGATAAAGCTAAAGCAAGGTTAAGAATTAAACATGTGTAATAGAAGTATCAGGAATTCAGAATGGTAGTTGGCGCATATGGAATGGATTTGATGGCCGAAAATTGTGTACCCTGTGAAGAATTAATTACTGGTTTTAAGTTTTAACTGCATACTGTAATCATTTCAGGGAAAGGTGATCTTCAGAAGAGCTGAGTAAGGTACAGCCTAAAACCATTATTTATTCTATAGTGATCTTCAGCACACTGCCACTGCACTTTCTTGCTAGATTAATAACTCTGAATATCTGATATTTTCCTCCTATGGTCTGAATATTGGGTTAGTTCCAACTGATTATTCACTTAACTCTGGCAGCATTTCAATTCCAGAATCCATTTGATTACAGTCTTTTCTTCTCTGTGCTAAATTCTGGAAGTTGCTAGCTTCTATTCATCAAGTTATACATACAAGTTTGTAGTCTGAAATTCATTCAGAACACCAGGTTTAGTCAATTATTTCTTTTTCCATCTATGTATGCATAAAGATCAAATTCTCTCTAGGTGGAGTGAGCAGCTCTTTGAATCTTGCAGTGCTTCATTTTACTTCAATTGTAAAAGGATATGTGCCCATAAGTATGTCCTTTGCTTCAGAGGTCATTAGCATTAACTGATATGCTTACATGTTTGCCACTTAAATGTGTTATGTAGGCTGCAGCAGAAGGTTCATTTTCCCTTTTGTGAGGTGCCATAACTTTCTGGTGTCTGTTGAAGGACAAAGATTATAAATGACATATATTGCAGGAAAATGACATATTTTGAGTGTTTTTATATGTTGGAAACGTGCATTGCACGTGCACGATTACTAGTATGTTTCTAAAACACCACCTTTAATAAAATCTTGATTAATTAAAAATATTGCATACACTCTATGTTTTAGAATTCAGGTAAATTTGTACTAAACATGCACAAATGTGAAGTTTGTGAAACTTTTAAATCCATAATACATGGTTTATGTGTCACAAGTCATAATACTTGTGATTTTGTACAACTTTAATCATAATAAAATATAGGGCTTTCTAAAAATTACTTAATAATAATAAATAAAAAAACATATTGCAGGTATAAATAGGATGCCGATCATCTAATTGTGAAATATAACTGACTGTGTTCCTTGGTGAGCCACCCACCTCAAACCAACCGTCAGCTTTATCGATTTATCTCTTTCTCGATTGGGGTGTCACCGACACATGAGAAGGGGAGTTCGTCAAAGTTGGACAAGAAGTCGATGCACGAATCTAGGCACAGATCCAATGGTCCAAAATATATAAGATTTCATTCCCAAATTTCTGACGAATGATATATAGCAATTCCTTAATTTTTATCTCCTCGGGAAAAAAACTAAAATTAGCTATGACGATCGATGGACAATATGTTCTACTATAGATCCAAGTTAATGCAGAAGGGCTCGCCGACCACATGATCCCCCGAATAATTAAGCAGCGGCAAGGGCTCTCGTTCCCACCGGTGGCCGCTGCGTCCATCGCCGCCGTCGCCGCGGCATCCCTCTCGCTTCACGTGTGATCGGAGTCTCGGAGAGGAGGAAGGTGGCCAGACGAGACACTGAAAGTGGGACCCAGTAAATCGCGAGGCCGACGTGGAGCACGGTGCTGATGTGACGTCGTCAAACCGTGTCGCAGCGGCCAGCGAGGATAAGGTAAATAAGCAAACTAACGGCGAAGGCGCAAATATATTTGCCCGTAGACAAACTCAAAATTCACACGCAGTCGATTCTCAGGTGCTCTTAACAAGCTCAAATTTGACCAGCGTTCTCAGCTTCTCTTAACAAACTCGAATCGATTACCTCGATCGTGAGTTTACTCACGTGCTGTAAACGAATCTACACAATTTAAACTAGAGATGATGTTATTACTCAAACAACGACTAAATGCTCATGGTATATGACAAGATTTCACAAACTGCCAAAATCTGCCATAGACTTGGACAAGAGTCTCTCTAGCTTCATAGATAAAAGTTTTTTTTTTAACACGAAGAGAGCGTGGAGTACATAACGAGCTTCGTTTCAAACCATGCCTGACCAAATTTAAGCTCGAGTTTTAGAGGATAAGAACGACGCATAGGCATGACAAGCCCACCTGTTCTTCTTGGTCACCACTTGTACTATGCACCTTATCTTGAATGGCGATTTTGATTTGCCTGCTTGCCAAATCAAATGTCAAAAATCCTACGAATTGATCGAAAACGCTATCACGATTATCCCTTCTATAACCATATTAATTTACCCCCAAAAAAACACGTCAAACTGATTTGGAGTGAAGCAACACATTCTGAGATATACGAAAAGTGCACCAAAACTCCAAAAAGTGATGCGATCATTCGCTTTTCCCATCATGACTCAAGATGTATTGAGAGCGAAGTGTTGTTTGGATTGTAGTACATCAGGGAGAGGATATTCTCTCACTTTTTTTTTGTCGTTTAAAATGTTATAAAAAATTGAAAGAATTTAGTAAGATAGATCATTATGTAATATGTTATTTCACAAACATGTAAATTTAAATTCAATTTACACAAGTAAAAACAAAAATAACAAGTTTAACTTGGAATAGATCGTATAATTCGTTGTTAAGTTTCACATCATACACAAAAGAGGGGATATTGTCTTGAGGGACAAAAAAATCTATCTCCCACAAGGTACACTATTCAAGTGTATTGATCTCTAGTATGAATAATTAAAGAGAAGATAACCCTGCTGATGAGCGAAAGATGCTCCATCAACGAGACAACCTCCTAGTTGTCGAGGACTTTGTCTCGCCAACCATGGTCCAGCAAATACGTCGACATTTGGCTCGAAGAGTAGCACGGTACAAGTAATCTAGCGTTTCAAATATTGTTGCTGCGCCGCGAAGTTCTAGGGAATGTATAGTATGAAATGCAGAATGTCAAACACATTTTCTACAAAGCCTGTTTGAGAGAACTGAAATTATTTGACTGATGTATAATCTGGTCTTTATAATAAATAAATGAATCAGTACAAAGCTGAAAATTTACCATAGAAAAAAATTATATGCTCCAAGAAAACTTTTGTACTACTAGCAAACGATCGTTTAGAAGCCATAGCTAGGGAAAAGTGCCAACGAAATTCAAAATGTAAAATCAGAAAAGAAAAGATCGCTAATAAACAGTACTATTAATGCATACTCCTTGCTCTGGCCCTAACACGTGAATTCCACGGCAGCATCTTGTCATCAGTACAACAAAATTGCAGCTGTCACAAACAGTTCACATGTACTGTCAGAAGAAGAAAAAAACACCGTTGTTTCCTCCATGCTACAGTAAAAATTAAGGACAAGAACAAAACGGGAGGAAGTTTCAGGCGGCTTATCATGACGCGTCGCGATCTGATATGATAAGGCCTGCAAGCTGCTGGCGCGCTGGTGATGCTGATAGCCGAACGCGAATTCTCCCTCCGTCGAAAAGACTCTGTGTCCAATGTTTAACCGTCCGTCTTATTTAAAAATATTATAAAAAAAATTAAAAAGACAAGTCACGTATAAAATATTAATCATGTTTTATCATCTAACAACAATAAAAATACGAATTATAAAAAAAATTCATATAAAACGGACCGTCAAAGTTAGATACGGAAACTCAGGGTTTGCCTTTTTTTTTTTTGACAGAGGGAGTAGTAGGATAGGAGTACGGAGAACGCGACCACCATGTGCTTCCGTACGTATCGCAATCGGCATCTTCTGAATGGTTGGAGACAAGTTGGAGTAGTCGTCGTCGATCCATCCAGTAGGCGTCAAGCGCTAAGCTGCGGGTTTTGCAGTAATCAGCAGCTTTCGACGACGAATTCTCTCGCTGATTGGGTTCTAATGGTCTGCCTGTCATTTTGATGTGGTTTTCTTATCCTTTTTCCACTGCGATTTGCATGTGTTTTGTCGCGGTGGTCGGCAACCGATGTGCAGGATTCTCTGGTTTGATGCGATTCCGAGTCCAGGAGCGTCGGCTCTTGCAGACTGCAGCCACCAAAATGTTTATTTAAAATACAAGGCGAATCTTAAGCTGTGTTTAGTTGGATCCAAAGTTTAGATTTTAGTTGAAATTAGAGATGATGTGACTGAAAAGTTATGTGTGTATGACAGGTTAATGTGATAGAAAAGTACTGAAGTTTGGATCCAAATTTTAGATCTAAACACAGTCTTAAAGGTTAAAGTTAGGAACAGTAAGTTTTGTTTTTCACTAGGTAGTACTCCTACTGATTTGGGGAACACTAGAAAAACTACTCCGGTTTTTTAAAAGAGAAAAAAAAACTACTGCAGTGAATTTCGAAGCATTTTTCACATTTGAGTATTGGTTTTGGTGTGACACTGCTACTGATTTGGTGTGCATGAAAAGCGTCTCAAGTTGCCAAAAGTTCGTACACTGATTTACGTACTGCAATTTACAAGTGGGCCTGTCCATCACCATGTAGAGTGAAGTACTTGAAGTACTTTTAGGCTGTGTTTATTTCAGCGCAAAGTTTGTATTTTGATTAAAATTAGAGATGATGTGACTGAAAAATTGTGTGTGTATGATAGGTTAATATGATGGAAAAGGACTGAAGTTTGGATCCAAACTTTAAATCTAAACACAGCCTTACTATCTGGACCTCATCCGGACCATGTTTACTCCGGTACTCCTATGATTTATGACTGCTGGAGCCTGCATCATCGTTGATGATCCTTTCATCCGGGCTGTTCAGACACCGAAAGGCCGGTTTCGTTCTTCAGAAAAATGATGGTGCCTACCCCGGCTGTAATCTCTGCAATATCCTGTATTCCTGTTCTGTCCTGCCGTACTTGCCTTGCCTCCCCGTCCCTGTCACTCGCTGTTCACTCGCTTTTGTTCGTTT